TTGTGAAAAATCTGTTCCCCCTCAAACCATGATAATAACTCTGAGTCAGATCTGTCAAATGGGACTGTGCCTGTGACCTGTGAGCCACCGTGTGCAAGGACCCTTAAAGTAAAAATACACACATTAAATCTACCTGGAGCTTCAAGAATGGGTCCCAGACCTCAAGGACTCAGGTGCTAACCTTGAGTTGTTACCATTCATTTCAGCTCACCTTTGTGCCTTTTGCTATATGATAGTGAACTTTCCTTGCTGGAAGCAAGTGCACATTTTAAATCAACATAAAAATCCAAAGGATAACTGCAGATATTTAATATAGTATTTATTAGATGTGGAAGAAAATGTATGAAGTAAAGCTTTTGGTAATATCCTCAAGAAATTAAGTTACAAGTCAGGAATTGGCACAGTATGTTCTCAGCCAGTTAAATGCTGCATGTTATTTTAGCAAACATTTCTGCTGGCAGTTGTTAACCTCAGGCAATAGAAATACATGTTTGCAGAGGAATAAAGAGCAACTAGGGAATCTGTTTATTCACTCCCATAAGAGCTTTTCTGAACTGATATGCAGAGTTATTATTTCAGAATTAATTATAAAGCAGGCTCATTGTAAGTGGCACCTTTGCTGGTTGATTTTATTTTTTGTTTTTATTTTTGAAAACCACATAAACAGCATACAACTATTAGTTGGCTTATAAATAAAATGCAAAATTTGTTGTACTATTAGTAGAAAACTATGCTTGACTTCCACAATTTTCAGAGAATAAAGGACCTTTACCAGCTCTTCTCTTTGGGAAAATATTTTTAAAATTCAGTAACTGACATATGGTGTAAAATATTCAGTTCAAAGGAAGAAACAAAGCCAGACAGAAAACACAGACTGGTTTATATTTTTATGACTATAAGCAGTGTTCCTCCAGTATGGTAGGGAATTCATTCCAACTTGTCCTTCAACGTGGCGCTAGTATTTTATAACGACTTGCTGCAAGTCCTTTGTGATCTTGACTGTCTGTCCATTGCTCTTTCGAAGATACACACCATGATATCGCGCCTGTCAGAGTGTTTTTCTGTTTCCAGAAATAAATTGCTTCTCCTGTCAGGCCCAGCACACAGTCTTTCTCAAAGAGTCTCTTCTGGGTGGCCATCTGGAAGCATCACCTCAGTGCAGAACAGGCGGGCTGCTGGCTTTGTGTTGGTTCACTTCTCCTCAGCACTGCCTACTGCCCTGAGGGCAGCATTAAATTTTATTTCTGGACTACACAGCATTATAACTAGATGTGCAGACATGACATTTTGATTGCTAAATTCCAGGCCTATTGAAGTTTGTGACAAGGCTCAGAGAAAGACTCAGCAGAAAAAGGATAAAGATGCAGAGGGGGCAATCAACTTGGGGACAGTCAGAGATAATGATCCAAGTCTCCAGAACCGAATAAACACGCAGAGGTGTTACACCACACCTGAAATACAGCATTGAGAAGCCTCTCTTATGCAGTGTTTGAAAAGCAATCAGAAGCCAGAGCCAAGGTGCTAAAAACAGGCATGCCCAAACCATGGAGAAATTAGATTCAAGAGTAATGAACTGTGTGCCTTTCTATAGTCAGAAAACAGAACAGAAAATGAAAGCAGCTAATTAAGAAACAGGAGGAAAAGCAGAAGAATCTCCCCAGGATCTAAAAGGTCTGGAATGATCAATGAGAAAAGAGGAAAATTTACCTAGTATAATTAATACTACAGACTTTTTTTGCAACTTTTCTCTGCATAACAACAGTGTAAAAAGCATGGGTGCAGTTTTTCCTGGCTGCAGATTTCCTGGCTGTATATGTTACTTAGATATAAATCATCTGTGGGCTTGTGGCTACACTTCAGTGAAACTGATGACATGAAACTCTGTAGACTTGGGATGAGGCAGTATTTATAATAAAAGAGATCCTCCTAGTGAAAGGAATGCTAAAATTGGTTCCATTAGAATAATATATCTTTTAATGCTTCTTCATGTTACTATGCTTTGGGAATGTCTATGATTATCACTAGGTATAAGAATCATGAATCATTCAGACTCCAAGGATGTCCTTGAAGAACAGTCTCAAATACAGACACTTGAGAGGTCCCAGATTACCTGCTGGAGCTGGAGAGACTGATTCAAGGTCTTACATGGATAAATTATCAGCTTTTCTGAAATGGCAGAGATCAGTTGGAGTTATTCTGGTATGAACTGAAGGTAGTCCAATGTACTGCACTTAACCACCACCTGGCTTTAAAGGCAGATGAGGAAATGCTTGGGTTTGGTTGGTTTTTTGTTTGGATTTTGTTTGTTTGTTTGGTGGGGGGGTGTTTGTTTTTTTTTTTAATAGCTGTGTGACTTTGTTGCTTATTTATCTAATTTAGTAGCTGTCAAAGTTCACATTCTCACCAGAATTATCATCACCTAAAACTATTGCGTTTAAAGAAAGTGTTCAGAAAGACTTGGCTGTTCACAAGTAGGGATAGCATCCAAAGAAAAGATATTCCTATTTGTAGGGATGAGTATGAATTTCATATCACAGGTACAGACTATTCTTTAAAAGTAGAAATAGAATAGGGAGCCTTTCAGTTAACAGATACCTGTTGTATGGTGTTACTGTAAATCCCTCAGACTTCAAAAAATTAAAAATTACTTTGAAATATCAGTTAGTTTTCAATTACTCCGAACAGATGGCTTAAGGGGAAAGATGCAAATTTTACTGCTGACAATAAAAGTAAAAAAATTAACTGGTCTGAGCGTGGAAAGGAATAAACAAAATTTTCTCTCCATTAATTGTGCAATGTAAGCTAAACATTCTTCTTAAATTACTATCAAAATGCAATGAGAGGAAATATAAAACTGTTTGGGTCATATTTTTAAGTCAGTGAGTGCCACAGTACCAACAGTATGAAGAATGGAGCCCTTAGAAAAATCAGTGATTATTCTTTCTTCCTGTCCTTTAATGGTATTATTCCTTCAGTATTACCATAGAAGCTGATGGAAATTTTACCACAGATTTTAAATGGAATACATTGAGCTCTTTGTGATACAAAAGAAAGAGACGTTGAAATTTCATAAGTTACTTTTGTCTGCCAAATGCAAAATACTCTACCTGGCCTTCTGTCTAAGCATACTATATTGGAAAAATTCCTATTTAAACCAGCTATTTATTGGTTGCAGCAAAGTCTTTTAAAAGATATCTCACAGTAATGTATTTTTGTATTTCTTTACCATAAGGGAAGACCATTTTATATATATATATATATATATATATATATATATATATATAATTTTTATATAATATTTATATTTATATTCTCTTGACAGAGAGACTAGAGATTTAAACATCACAACTATATTGACTCCATTGTGCTTAGTTTTGCAACTTAATTTATTGTCCAAATCTCACTGAAGACAATCACTTTTCTGAATCACTATTTGAGTTTTTTAAGGAAAAGGACTTGGAATAAACTAAGATAGGTTTCTAAAAATAAGTTACCCATTCCAGGAGTTGATAGATATTAAATGCAGTTCCCGTAGGTCGGGATCGTGGGTCTGTATGGAATATTGCACAGAAATTCCCAACGTACCCTTGAATACCGTGGCTGCCATCCTGCCCAAGGTCCAGGTGCTGGGGGCCCTTTGCCAGGGAGGTGTGTGCCATCTAGTGGCACCAGGACACACGGCGACACCCAGACAGAGCCACAGAATCACGTTGGACAAGACCTCTGAGATCCATCATGTAAGTCCAACCTGTGGCCAAACACCACCTTGTCACCTACAACATGGCACCAAGTGACACATCCCGGATTTCCTCAAACAGGGTGGTAACTCCTCCACTTCTCTGAGCAGCCCATTCCAATTCCATTTCCTGAAGAATTTCTTCCTAATGCCCAACCTGAACCTTCCCTGGTGCAGCTTAAGACTGTGTCCTCTTGCCCTGTCGCTAGTTGCCTGGGAGAAAAAGCCAATCCTCACCCGGCTACACCCTTCTTTCAGAGAGTTGTAGAGAGTGATCAGGTGCCCCCTGAGCCTCCTCTTCTCCAGGCTTAATTCAAGGGCTGGGAAGCAGCTCCTGGACATAACCAGTCTTGAACGAAAACTCAGATGTGTTCACTTCTAGCAGCAGTGCCTCTTGCAAATCTCTCTCCTCCTTGATGTATTGCAAAATATTGCTTGTAATTTATCTTTAGCTGTATTGGCAGCCCCTCACTGATCTTTATCTCTTCCCTCTACTCCACTCTTGTGAAAACCTACCTGGACTGCTGCATTACTCTGGGCTCCTCAGTACACGAGGGACATCGACCAGTTGGAGCAGGTCCAGAGGAGGACCATGAATATGACCAGTGGGATGGAGCAGCCCTCCTACAAGGAAAGGCTGAGAGAGTCATGGCTGTTCCGCCTGGAGGAGATAAGTCTCTGGGGGAGGCCTTGTTTTTGCCTTCCAGTACCAAAGGGAGCCTACAAGGAAGCAGAAGAGGGACTTCTTACAAGAGCAGGTACTGACAGGACAAGGGGGAAAAGCTTCAAACTGTCAGGGAATGAATTCAGATTAGATTATTTGGAAGAAATTCTTTGCTGTGAGGGCGGTGAAGCACTGAACAGGTTGTCCAGAGAAATTTTGGATGCTTCATGCCTGGAGGTGTTCAAGGACCGGATGGATGGAACTTTGAGCAGCTTGGTCTAGTGAAAGGTGCCCCTGCATAGGGAGGGCCGGTTGGAACTATATGAAATTCAAACTCCCTTCCAACCCAAACGAGTCTATGATTCTCCGACACAGGCAGGCTGGCCCCTGTCCCCCCACAGCCAGGAAGGAGCCTGGCCCCGAACGCCTCGGGTCATTAAACGAGGCTCCTGGGGCCGGCAGCCTCCCAGAGACGGGAGCGCACCCACAGGCCTCCCGCCCTGTCGGCCGCGATATGGACTACAGTTCCCAGGTGCCCGCGGGGCAGGCCGCCGCCGCCGCCACCTCCCTCCCCTGCGCGGGGGCTACTGGGATCTGTAGTAGAGGGCGGGAAGAACATGGCGCCCAAGGTGAGCCTGGTGCTGCGGCCGGTGAAGAGTATCGTGGTCCGGTTCTGCCCCTTCGAGCCCAACGTGGAGAGCACCAGGTGAGGGGGCTGCGGGAGCGGCCCTGGTCCCTGCCCGCTCTGTCCGGGCTCCTTGTCTGTAGGCGCCCCAGCGCCCTCCGTGCGCCCTTCCTGCGGCCTCCCGGCTGGCGGCTTCTGCGCGGGTTCCGCGCGTCTCCCGGCGGGCGCTAGGGCTGGGCTTTTGTCACCCAGGGCTCCTTCCGTGCTGCTATCCCCAGGGCCTGTGCCCAGCCCTGGACCCTCTTGCCAGGCGTGTGCGCCGAGCTTTAGCAGAGTGCCCAGCGGGTTTCCCCGCGGTGGCTGGTGCTGTCGTGAGGCCATGGAACCACTCCAGGCGCTGGTAACGGGGAAGCGGGGCACTCCTCAATCCCGGTAGTGAATTGTTGGAGAAATTTAAGGGTAGGTTCTGCACCAAACAATTCCAAAATGCCGTTTTGCAATGACTTTACAGGCACACCTCCTTTAAAAATTAATTTAGTAGCACAGCTTAATTCAGAATATCTTTAAATTGCCAGAATTAGCGGCTTAAAGTAGCTGTCATACATTTCAGAACTCTACAGGAGACCAAAGATGTCGTAAAAATAAATGCTGTCTCAAACCCAAACAAGAAAACATTGGCAAGCAAATGATGTATAAAGAAAAATGAAAATGCGTTTGCTGTTTATTTTTAAATTATTGTTACTAATCTAGCTAAGGGAAACACAGAAAGTGTATACACTGAAGTTTTAAAAAGTTCTTTGGTATGCTTTTTGCATGTTAGTATATAAGGAATATCCATTTGGACTTTTACGAGTGATTCTCACATAAGAAGTCTGAACTGAAGTACAAATCCTATTTTGTTTACACTTTGCCCAGCAGTATTGACATATGCAAATTTGTTTTGGAAAGATGCTTACTTTAATTTCTATCTACAACATATTTAATATATTTTTTATATATTTTCAGAAAATTTCTTCAATCTATTTACCATAAAAAAATCCAAGCTACTAATACAAACTGTGAAGTGACTGCTGATGTGAGACATGATGGATCTGAACCAGTTATAGATGTTAAGTTTGGTAAGAAGCTTGTTTTTAAACAAAAAAAAACCCACCCTGGTTTGTGTTGTTACAATGTTATTATATTCTATTTTTTTTTTTTTAAACTGTAATTTTTTTTTTTGGGCTGTGGTCTATAACTAGCTGTTGTGCAGCTGAGAGGAAAAAAGAAAGAGGGTGTCACAAACAGCCTGATGTCTAGATTAATGTGTATATATGTCTCTACTGTTGTTAGATCTAAGGGATCTTAGATCCAACAACTGACAACATTGGAGCTGAGTATAATTTTAAAAGTAGTGATGTACTTGCAGTCAGGTACAATTCCAGGAAAGTAAATGTAGCTCTGTTTTTATATAATAATATGTTTGCTTTCTGTAATTTTTATGTTACCTGTGATGGAGGCATCTCGGTCTTGAGAGCAGAAGGTTGAATACCTTTAGTTGCTTATGCAACTGAGTAACTGTAATTTGAAGGAACTGCTCAGATGGGTGAGATGTGCAGATGGACCTGCAGAATGAGGTCAACTACGTACAACAAATATCCTGGTTTCCTTTGAGGGTATAGTGAGTGGGCAGGGAATTGGTGGTGGAAATTTCATCAGTTCTGGAACCATCACAGATTCTAGGCTATGAACAGATGGCTCTAATCTGCTTTTGTCCTTTTCTCTGGCTGCATCTTCTTTCCTGCTGTGCTGTAATAGACCAATATGTCATGTAGCCCATTAAAGTTTTCACTAATACTGATTTCTGCCACTCTCTTATCTTTAAACTTTCATATTTTTCGTGAATTGGTGGAAATGTCAAAAGTATTGATCAGTCTTTGTTTTGCTTAGGAAAGTCTACCTATTTCAATGTTAACATTGCTTGTCTCTCTCTCTCTCCCCCATGCCTCTGTCTTTCCCATCCTTTTGATGTATTAAGACTAAATAGAGCAGTAAAGCTCTATGTTTTTTCACAGTGTAAACCCAAACAAGTTTATCTCATTAATGCCAAGACACCTCTAAACTCTTTATTTTTTAAGAGCTGATTTTTCTCCAGTGAAGAGTTTGTAGCCCTTGTAGTTGGCAAAGATGAGGCTGAAATGTGGACACTAGGCATGGTATTTCACTATACGGCTTTGGGTATTGGTTCTGTATTTGCAAATCTTGCAAAATAATTCACTTGGGTAATACTCAACTTCTGCTCCCTGCCTGTTTTAAAATATATTCTTTCAGAATTCTGGAAATCCTAGTACTTCCTATTTTTTTTACATTATAACCACGGGATTGTGTGAACCAATTTGTTGTCTTGGCTGAAGAAGTACGTTAAACGAACCACAGACAACAGGCTACTAAAATGCTTAACCATGTGTGGAAATTGTGCCTTCCAATGCCCTCTTTGCCTTTTGTGAGGATACTTTGGGGGCATAGTGTGAACCATCCTTATCAAATGTGTTCTGACTGTAGGCATACCTAGGCAAATGCTTCAGATTTTTCAATAATGCAGTGCAGAAGTGAAAATTAAATGCATATTGTGTGCAGTTTGATATGTTCATTTGGCAGTGGTGCATAGTCAGGTTCCTCGATAGCTGGAGTATTTTCTAATCAGACAAAGTGAACTGGGTATTTGGATTTATATACACAAAATAACTGCACGCCAGACTAGTTATCACTTTGTGACTTCTTAAGGTTTTCTTCATTTATAGCTGATGGAGATCGACTGATAATGAAGGGAGCCCACTTGACGACAGGGGAAATGTTAACAGCATTGGCGTCCAGATGCAATGCAAAAGACCTTAAGGAAGAACAGAAAAGCAAGAGGAAGAATCCCTGAAGAATGGAAAAACAACTGTGTTTGCATCTACATGTGTTAGAAATAGCAGGCTGCACAAAAGGCTTTTTTCTATGCAACAAAATCTGAGAGATGGCCAAAAAATCCCTGCCTTCCCTTGAAGGAGAACATACTAGATCAACAGATCTAACATTAGTGGGTCAGAGTGGTGTAAGGTGCATGAATGCATCTTTCTAAGCAGCTGCATGTTGGACTAATATCACATGTGTTTGAATATCAATGTGAATAATGCACATTAGTTATTAAATTAATACTGCAATGAAGCCAGATCTCTTTGGACATTATTTCCTACAAAATTTCTGTAAGTTTAAGGCAAAACATTTTTAGAGTAGTTATTATTATTTGAAAGCTATTAAATTTATTAAAAATGTGAAGACAACTTTAAAACTTAATCATCATTGACTTAGCTGAGGGACACCAGGCTGCAAACACAGAGTGGTTTTTGTAGTACTATGTTTATAATACATCTGTTGCTAAGTCCCTACCACTTTCTTCCTCTTTTTTTGAAGGAAGTGGGAAATTTGCTAAATGTAAATTTAGCTCAGCTATTAAAGTAACAAGGCTATGGGACTGTCAGCACACAGTAGAGTTACTCATCCTGCATAAAAGTTACTAAGTTTAGCTCAAGTTAGTTTTTTTGATAATTGGAGAAAAGACCTATCTTTGAAGTTCAGTTTTGTAGTGGCTTTGTCACACACTTCTGGGATATTTAATTTTATATCTCATTTTATAAAGATCAAAGGGAGAGCTTTATTTGGTGTTTATAGTTCCATGTCCAACCCTATTATTTATTAAAGTAACTGCTTAGGTGTCTCATCTGTATTGCAAAGCTCTGTGGGTTTGGAAGAGTCGATTTCTCCTCAGGCTGTGCAGGTGAAGGTGTCAGCTGCGCATGCGTTTCATGTGCATCAGTTTTGTTCATAACAAAAATATAATTCCAGTTTTGAGAATTGCAGGTGTGGTATTCTTGAGAGGTTTTACTTCTACCTTTTTACTCAGATGCCTGATTTCTCTAAAACTAGTACATGAATTTCCAAAGTTGGCAGCAGATTTAGGACACAAATCTGAAACTTGTTTTACCTTACTTTTGTCAAGATTATTAAATTAACACTGTCCGTTCTGAAAGCAAGATGGTTTTAAATAGCACTGTCAATTCTTTGTAAGTTCTTCATTAGAATGTTGAAGTCAAGGTAATGTCTTATGTTCTAGAAGGAGAGCTGTGCTAAAGACATTGGGTGTTTCCCATGTGTTTGCAACAAACAGAAGAGCGCAACATAAGACAATTCAATGAAATTTGGATGTGGGAACAAGAGATGTGAATAACTTTGTCTGGGATAAATACTTCTCTGCACTGGAGCACTTTTTTTTATTAGGCCGCAAGCTCTTCAGAGTGGTTTTGGGGTACTGAGCTGCTAAACCTGCTACTGAGCTTCCTTATAGTGGAGGGGTTATGAGAACACCTGAAATGGAGAGGATTTTAAATCCTGTCAAGCTAGAGGAGTACCGCAGAAGAGGACCAAATTGAAATAATATTCAAAGGACAGGTTGTTTTATTGTTTTGTTTTGTTCTTCCCCACAGTTTAGAATAACATACACCATGACTTTATCTGAAAAAGCTTTGCAGGAAGAGTGAGAGTTGTTCAAGGGGAAGACCTATGCACAATTATTGTTCCCCTGGTTAATCGTGTTCATATGCTCAAAAGCCATCTTACTGTAACATACCAATGATTTTTGCTTTTTTTTTCTTTCTTTGACAGTCTGTATATCAGTGTAGTAAAAGTACCTACATCCATCTTAAGTAATTAGCCATCTGTAAGTGCTTAAAGAGTTAAATAGGAGTTAAGTAATGAAAAATTAATTATTAATAATAATTAAGTTTCTATAATATTTATTGTGGCCCAAGATTGGGGCTTATATTTATGAATAGAAAAGGGAGAAAAATGAAGACCCCAGCTATTTTTTAATCACCAAAATTAATCCCTTCTATTGTCAAAGAAAGGTAGTTTTGGGTTTTTTTGCTTTACTAGCATGGATAGGCATTCTGCTCTGTAAAAACACACTCTTCTGCTAGGTGCATTTAGTCCACACATTCCTGCTTAGGTTAGGCCAAAGACCTGCAATGTCACCATTGAGAGTTCACCAACAATTCAGGGGATGAGGTGTAGGCTGGTGCTGCTTTTGCTGGGGGTGCTAGGAACTGCAGTTTGCAGTGATAAAGCTCTGATACATTTTGTGCATGAGAAAGAAGTAATGACTGGGTTTTTATTATGCAACGTATAAAGCAAAACCTACAGGACAGAAAAATCAAGCTAAAAATGTGCATCCTCAAGACTACAAGATACTGGAGTGATACAAACAAGCAAGATGGGAAAGAAGGCACTCCTTTGATGATTATTATGCTAATATGTAGAAAATTGCTTTCCCTGTATCATGGAGATAAAGGTACGAATTTATTTTTCAAGTACTTTAAAGATAATCTGTAACGACTTTCTTCCCCCAGCATTTAGATAGCTTTGCTGCAAGCTGCTCCTACACTCCCAGCTCCTGCTGCTGATTGCCTGAAACAAAGCTCTGACAGCTTCCTGCCATGCACAGGCCAGAGCTGGGGATGTACAGGGTATTAAGGTCACTCATGCACAACAAAGCGTGTCTGGATGAGCATTGACTTTGCATGCTGTTATTCTCTAGCCCACTAATCTTGATTATTGTATCCCACCAAAAATATGGGTGCTTACCCAACTATAAAAGGAACTGGAACAGACCCTAAAAAACTAGGATTGCCTAAATGCAAATACCACGGCCACATAGGATGGGTGATAGCAGGTGATGACATTAAAATGGCTAAATCTCTAATGCCTGATCATCTCAGGTCTTTTCATTGTACAAATACATATTTATTTAGACATTTCTATCAGTGCATGGGGAAAATAGTCTTCAAATGGATGAATATGCCATTCAGATAACACAGCCTTGCTGAGGTACTCCCTTTTTAGGTATCTACAGAATTGTTTTTAGAAAAAGATAATGGTATTTTTATTAAAGATTTCAACTAGGAGCAGCAGTGTTAGTGAACATTTCAAGTTCTTCACCTCTGCTTGTTTGAATTTTAAATGACTAAGGATTTTATGTGGTACAAGGAAGTCAGAAAAAACCCTCAAAAGCTGAATATCCTGGGACTGTATTTAACAGTTCTCAAGATGCTTGCTTTCAAATGTATCTTCTACATGTGTATACGTTTCTTGCAGTTTTAAGAATTGCTGGCTCACTGCCCACCTCACCAACTCCGTGTGCAACCAGTTTCCCTGGATGCAGGCCCTGCCTTTCCATTGAGTGGCTTGGAGTTGAGACTGACATGTTGCCTATCAGTGATGCCTCTTCCAGATGCACTTCTCTGCCTTCTCCATCTCCTGGCCTAATATTATCTTTCCTTAATGGTATTGTTTGATCTCATCCAGGCTCCCCTTTTCCCCTTGGAAGGCCTGAGTCACTCTTCTGAGCCATTTTTAGTGTTTGCCAAGAGCATGCAGTAGCTTCAAGCAGCCAAGGTACTCTGCTGCTGGTAGACCACTCCATGCTTGTAGACCATTCTCTGTTTCCTGCTCAGCCTTGCTCTGTAAGTGGATAAATGTTGGGATGGTTGGGATGGAGCAGCTTGGTAGAGGTGGTACATTGCTTGTGATAAGCTTAATGAAAAATGGTCTTTACATTGAGCTGGTCTTCTCAGGATTTTACAAAACTAAGGATGCACCCAGGACAGATGTTTGGAGTGTGAAGGCAAAGGAGCTGCTGACCTGTTCTGATCATGACTCTTGAGTTCCAAAGTAGTACTTGAAAGTAGAGTTAAGGCAAGCCTAGAAATTCTGCTTGACTTAAAACAGTCCCCTACATACTGGCAGTATTAATATCAGAGGTTAATACAACATCAAAGGAGATCTTTGTATTCTGCTTCACTGGCAGAGGTGAATTTGACTTGTTTCCATATGAATATTTGCTTTAAGGCAAAATAACTGGAAAAGTGGACCAGCAGACATGTTTTTGAAGGGAGTGCTTGGTCAATAGAGCAAAGCCTGGGAAAGACATCCTTAGTGGACAGATTTTCACAATTTAGACTGACAATTGCTGCAGAAAGTTCAGAGGAAAGGTAGGAGGGATAGCAGCAGCTTCCTTCCTTAAGCAGGCACTACTCCTCTGTTTCTTTCGAACCCTCCAGCCTTTTTCAACAAGAAGTCAAAGTTACTGTAAAAATAGCGTGGTCGGCATGCAAAGCCAGCAAGTTTGTCCTCTCTAACACAAGTCTTGCATGGATGCAAGGAATTATCTTTTCACTATTGGGGAATCTGAGTGGTTCAAGTAATTCACATGAATAAAAGAAACTATAAGTATTTTCATGGAGTTTTTAAAGTATCTTTTTATAGATGAAGATTTATAGAACTTGACTTCAAAATTCACTGCTCAAATGAATTTCAGAGTATTTACTGGGAATGAGAAATTTAAGAATCAGATGGTTACTTCTTTCCTTCAAATAGTTAGACCAGTATCTAGTTAAGCTGCATATAAAATAAAAGGTGTAAGAATCAGTACGAAAAACTTCTGGCAGAAGCATAAGAAAAGAATCGGTACCGCAGTGTAATTTCCTACTTCCTTACAAATTTTCTATGGTCTGGTTGTTGGATATGTAATACCATATCTTGAGATGGAATCAGGGATGTAAACTCAAATACTGTGAGACTTTTCAAGTCTAGAAGAGCAAGCTGGAAAATACCTGCTTGTCCTGCATGGTTGCGTGAGATGCCAGAGGCAAGAATTTTCTTAGAAGACTTTTGAACATGAGTCATGTAGTCAACCGTCTTTGCAAACTGAGCATGTTGGCAATGGGAAAATAGTAAAAACTGGCTTTAGCTTCCAAAGGGTTTTTCTTCAAATGTTCTTCTGCAGTCCATGAAAACAGAGGTCTTGAAAGATGAGTCAGAACTGGAAGATAATACATTGAGTAGCAGCCCAGGGAGCTGCTCTTCCTCCTGTGTGCAGGTGTCAGAAGGCTTGTGCTGTTTGGTAAAAAGGAAATCCCATCAACAGTGTCCCAGGTGTTTTACACCTAAGCCCTTTTCACCCCAGGATGAAGTCTGGTCTCTGGGTCTCTGGGAGCCCTGGTCAGGTAGACAGCCTACTCATATTCCTAGCACCCTACTACATGATTGTGTATCTTCAACAGGAAGAGGAGCAATTGCAGCCCCTCTCCAGCTTTCCTGGGAAAGGTGTTTGTACCC